GTGATTAACCACTTGCAAGAGACTGAAAACATCCTAGGTATGTGCATTCCCAAAACATACATTTTCCGATTGAGACTTTTAAAGTGTCGATACCCAAGAGACAATGTCATTGATGTGTGTACCTGGCACTAGTTCTGCCAGTTAATTTTTTCCCCAGAGAGTACTTTTGGGCGACAGAGTGGCGTCCTGGCTTCCCAGGTTGTTGCATTGACAAACTGCAGTGGAGTAAAGTCAAGGGGCCTGACAAAATCTCATTAATCATTTTAAATTAAATCCAACCCTCCTGTCCAACCAGGCCGAGAAGAAAGCCAAATTTTTTTTTTTTTAAACAAATGAAAATTTCCTCTGTAAAGATTTGGTATCTTTCTCTTGTTGGTCTTTAATTTGATTAGACAAATATAAAATAAAACAATCCACTTCTCTAAGCTTGAAAACAAAACATTTGTCCAGATATGATTTAACAGATCAGCCAAGTGTCTTTTAAAAATGAAACAAATTTTGAATAAGAATACCTGGAAACATTCTGAGGGGAAGCAATACTAGTTAAATTAGGAAAACGATTTATCTTTATTTTCTGAATACTTCAATGAATTTATGTTGTTCTATCTAAAATACATCATCCTTAATAACATTTGAAAGAAGAAATTTGAAAAAATCCATTATCCATAATATCTTGGTATACTGTATCCCAGTCTGTTCTTTCCATTCATAGGCTTTTGCTTTGTTTTACACAGTAACCATAATGTGTGTATATATGTAATTTAATCTTCTTTTTAATATTTGTCATTATTTATAACTGTTAACTCACATTATTCATAAACATCATGGCATCATAATAACAGGTCATGAGGATGCGTTCTGGTCTACTTGACCAGTGCTTAGCATGCTGTCTGGTACCCCGTGTGTACTCAAATATTGGTTATTTTTTAGATTAGCCCCAGGTTTTGGGCATTCCGGTGGTTTCTATCTTTTTCTTTTTTTGAAATTAAAAACAATGACGTGACTAAGAGTGCACGTACTGCCTTTCCTCTATTTTGGATTATTTCCTTAGGATGGCTTCCCAAAGTGGACATATTCACTTACAAATGCTTGTAAACAACTGTAGGCAGTTGAGCTATTAATAGCGATATTAAAGAAAAAGTTCACTTTAAACACAGGAAAAGACTCCAGTTAGAATAAGTGGGTTATTATTTTAAATATACAGACTTCTGAACAAGCTAACTCTCATTGAGCACCATATTAATAATATTGCCAATCATGTAAAAGATCAGTTTAGAGAAGTAACAAGATCAATGGCTTAAACTCTCAAAATTAAAAAAAGACAATCAAAGTAGCAGTAATTTATGCAAATATTTGAAATCAGAAGACCCAGAGAAATGAATTTACATCCAGAACAATACATAGGTTGAATCTGTATTAGTTAAGAGTTAACTCTAAACATTCTGATTTGTAAATTGTGTACACCTGAAAGGTCTGGTTATATTTTTTTGAAATGCAAATAGTAAAGTCATCTTTCTATATACTTTTATATATTAGAAACTAAACCAGGGCTAAAATAATTCAGTTAGGTTTACTGAGAAACTGCTTTGGGCCAAGGTCTGTGTTAGGTACTGAGGGAGACATAAGAAGAATAAAATTTCCACCTGCAAGAATTGA